GATAGATTACTTGACTTCATATTACAGTTATGATGGCTAATATCATAACAGTGCCCCAATCTCGCCAAAAAGAATGCTTTGGCAATGTGTTCCTGGGTTGGTAAATCAACATAACGAACGATTTACAGTTAGACCGGAGCCGAGTAGGAGCGGAGTGAGCGACTTGGGGAGCAAGACCATCGAGGGAGCAGCAAAGAAGATGAAGACACCTGGCTCCATACCCACCTCTTCAATTCTGGTGTCCCCTCTGCTTCAACTTACGCGCAGGATGAGTATGCGGTTGGCGTCATTCAATGCGTCATCTAAAGAGCGATGCTCGCAGTTGCCCCATACGCAAGAGAAAAGGAATCCGGAGATCCGCATGCCCCCGACAATCGAAGGCCAGGGACGCAGCCGAGCTGTTTTTGCCAAGGTTTCGAAGATCAGGTTGGCCGGACAAGTCATGCGGGTTGAAGGTGACCGCTAGACCGGTGCGACCACCGACTGATTCCACAGGATGTCACACGACCGCCTACGCTATGGTCAGATTTCTTCGTGGAAGCTCTGAACGAATGGTATGAAGTTCATCGTGTCCCTCGAGCAGAGAGAGTCCATTGGGCAACTCTTGCACGTTGCAGGGACGAATGGAGACGTTACTGGCGCCCGCTCGAGGAACTCGATGATCAACGGGAGCACAGGTGATAAGGTGATATCATAGCAACGGTTGTATTTGCAAATCTCTATTCAGTAGATTTTGAGAGGGAGTCTTTCAAGAAAGTAGCACAGTGACCGTTCCCCACGCTCTTCTCAGCTTGACCCTGGGAGAAGCATGGAATCACCTCGTTGAAAGGGGGTATAGGGCGCCATCGACTTCGCCCTGGTCTTGAAGCTTCCCCAACTATTAAATTAGCGCTCCCGTTTGAATAAAGTAAATCACCAGCGTTGTAGATATGACCAGAACAAAAATTTATTCAAAGTTCGCTAAACAGGGCACTTCCTGCAGCTAGGGAACGACCGCCCCTCCCCGTGCTACCCACTCTAACCGGACTTTTCGCGCGATTTTTCTACCCTTTTCGCAGTAGCGATAGAATTTCTCACTTCATAGAACATTGAAACGAAACCGAAAAGCTGCAGCAACTGGGAAAAAATGTCACGCTCATGGGAAAAATTCCTAATGGAAGATACGACCTCCAACACCCTCTTGGACCCACAATCAGACATAATTATGCCCAATTCCCCCCGCCCCCAAAAAAAAAGTTATGGATGATGCGTGTGAAACAGGAGAAACCTATTACCAAAAAAAACCTTTTTTCACCCCATATGACCACCCTTCACCGGTCAAATACGCCCCCCCCCCCTAGTGCTCTGCTCCAGAAGTATCCTTGCCCTTCAATATTCTACATTGTCCTCCCTTCTGCCAACGTTGAAAGACGTCGCTATGTCAGTGCGTGGTCAATGGAATCCGACAAACAACATTTTTATGAGCCATAATCGCTCTTCGCCTAGCCGGTCCAACTCTAACCTGCTTTGGTGAAAGTTCTTCAAAGTGAACGAGGTGAAGGTGGCAGAATGTGACCATAAATGAAACGGCGATGGTATTATGGCAACACATCAATGTGGTACTAAACTCTCGACATGGGCCACAATTAAACGAAAGTGGGGCAATCGACAAAGAGCGTTTACCACCCACCGAATGCGCCTAACTATAACCCATCTATCGGGTATAATAACGGTATCAAGGACAACGTAGATTACGCAACACCAACCTTTACGTAGAGTTCCAGAAGTGGTTTCTTCAGTGTTTCACCACCATTCGCTTGAACCTGATAATCGTCCGCCATCGACAATTCAATAATACGATGGTGCAGAAGGTTCAGATGTTCTGAAAATCGATTCCCATTGGAATTCAGTGAGACTGGTGACAGCACAGCTCAGTTATATGCCGAAACGATTGCGATACGATACAAATGAAATAACATCTTTCACGAGACCTTCCAAGGTAGGCACTTCATAAGGACCGTTAGGCATAATTGTAGCACCTGAACGGCGCTATGAACCTCGAGGATGAGAGGTATTCCGCAGGTTTTTGCCTGCGCTGTAGTTACCTGTAATTTTAGCATGAAGGGATTACCCAGGTGGGTGAACCTGTTATCACCGGTGGGGTCAAAATGGGCATGGCGCCTCACTCAATTAGAGCTCTTCCTCGTTTACCCCATAGGACTCCAGGTCAGTATAGCGCTGAAGAAAATTGCAAGCCTCATCCGGAACTTTGTACCTTCTCCAGTCCCCTTCTTCCACTTGTTCGTTTTTAAGGGTTTCACGGCCCCTATAAAGTTGAAGGGGACCATTTGACAGCGCCTCTGGGTTCTATTCCGTTCTAAGGCTTACGCTTGTCGTTAGTGGAGACAGTGCCTTCTTTGTGAGACTATCCTTAAGGTTGAAATGCATATGTCAACCGGATGCTCCTCGCTGCGAGGGTCCAGAGTGTTTTCTCTTCTTCCGTTCCAGCATGTAGAGGAAGGAAAATAAGGATGATGAGAGAAGGAAGGAAGAAAAAGAAGGAAGGACAAGGAAGGATAAGGAAGGCTCCGTGGTTGACATATATTCCCAGACCACTCTTGAGCAGTGCCTTCTTTGTGAGAGCAGCCATGTGCGCTCCAATCTACGCCCTGATTAGTGGGAAAGTGAACATAGCTAGGCCACTCGTAAGCTGCGAAATCCCAAACGCTGGAGGGACGGCGGCCGTACCTCAGTAGCGGAAG